CGGATGACCTCGGGGAGGTTCTTGCCGGTCGCGAGCCCGAGCTTGGCCGAGAGCGTCTGGAAGAGCATCGCCATGATGTTGGCGACGAGGATGCCCAGAGCAGCGTAAAGCCGTAGTTGGAGCCGCTCTGAATGTTGGTGGCAAAGTTGCCCGGGTCCACGTACGCGACGGACGCGACAAAGGCCGAGCTCAGCGCCGGCAGGAGCCGCCGGAAGAAGCGCCCGACGGCCGACGTCTCGGACGATCCGTGCTGCGTGATGGAGCCCTCTTTGGCCTCGATCTGGATCGCGATCGCCGACGCCTCGCTCTCGTGCGCATGGTACGCCGACGCCTTGGGCGTCGTCATCGTCATATTGTTGCGCTTAAGGTCGAATGCAACGCGCGGTCGCGACAGCAGGCGTACTTTTGAAGCAAATTGCAACGTGGCCTCGCGCCTGATTGGCTACGGCGCTGCGGACAGACGGATGGGACATGCAGCGGCAAGCTCCAGGAGCGAATCTAGCTGCAATCACGCACGCGAGCGAGGTGGAGGACTTGGTCAGTCCTGCGCATGTCGTCCGGCTGCATGAATCTGTACTGCACTTCTGTCGTCGTCGCTGCATAATACTGTCGTGCCATTGCGTCAGGTGTTCGACCACTGCCAAGAATGGCAATGCGGCACTCATAGGTTGAACCAAAGGTCAAGCACAACCGAAGCGTTCAAAGACCTAAAGACTCGCTTCCACGACGCTCGTGTTGACTGAGCACGCAGCGTTGGTGGCTAAGATGTCAGTCCTGGCTCTGCCCACACCCATAGTACTTCCACTGATGGATTGATCGCATGTACCCAGCTCGATCGCGCCACGGCACGACGTGACGCCATGTTCAAGCTGTTGTCGACACTGGCGCAAGTCGGGATGAAGGGAATCTTCCTGCTCGTAGTGCAGCTGTACTCATGTTGGGGAGATCGAAGTGACACTAAATAGGTTGTCGTCGCAAGTGTATCCTCCGTCAGAACGGCAGAATCTGTGAACTGCATTTGGTCTAGCGAGTTTTACATTGGTTGACCGAGTAGGTAGAGCTGGATTCGCGTCCCGGCAATGCCCCCCTTTCTGTTTCCACGGTGTAATGTCAACTTGAAGTATAGTTCGAGCGCCGGCACGACACGTCCAACGGCACCGATCACCGCAGCAACGCCGCGGTGTGGCGCACACTCCCTTTTAAGCCTTTGTCACAAAAGCACCTTCGGTAGCCGACCGCAGCTTGATGCGCGCGTCGCAGCATACTGACGTGATCGTTTGCGCGCTGGCCGTGCGTTCGGTCTACAAGATGGTCACTTTCGCGGCGTCATCTAGGTACATATGTGCTACAGCCTCGCTGCATTGTCACTTGCGTCACGCGCTCGAGGAGCTGTGTCACCATGCTGCAAGGAATCCGAGGCGGTCTTACTAATACGGATGTGCCGAGCACGTGCAGTGTACCATTGGCCCGCGATGCGTGACACCAAACAACTTGAGTTGTTGAACGGGCATCGAGCGTACTATTGTAGTACACTGACACTTGGTCAACTCTATTATAGTGTAGTGGTCGACGCAAACAATGACAAGTTGTTGATTGCTCGTTGCTTGTTTTCAACCTTCGGCCTCCTTCCCTCGTTTTTACGATTTGCTTTTGCCTCTTCGTGCTATTTGTTGCGCTCGTCGTGGTGCGTCGTAGCCGTCGCAAGCATGTTGACGTGGCCGTGAGCGCGCTGGCCGTGCAGTCGGTCTACGTACAACGAGGTCTCGGTCGCGGTCTTATCCCGTGTACGGTAGGACTACCTAGTGCCGCTTGCGCCACGAGCACGAGAAGCTCTGTCATGATGGCGTCATGCGCGTCAACGTCGGTGCCAAAGACGGCCGTAAAGTGTGCTTCGATATGGTCGCGGCCGTGGTTGAGCACGGGCGCCGGCTTGGTCAAGAGCAAGTCCATAAATTTTGCCCAGCGCGATTCAAACGCGTCGGCTGTCATTACGATGGCGGTACGGACGTAGGCTCGCCACGCCTCAAGAATGCGGTCTTCTTCGTCGATCGAGATGACGTCGCGGGCTTCGCTTGTCAGAACTGATAGCACCAAGCTCTGCGTAAACGTCGTTGTAGAGACCTGTGTTGAAGTCGTCGCACGTGGTGCGACGGCGACAACAATCGCGTCCTGGGAAAACGAAAAACGCGGCATCGTGGGCGCCTCGAACTGTCGACGCGCGGTCTCCTACAGCGCATGATGGTTCTAAGACATGGGTCGTCTTGAAAAGGTAGGAGGGGCTTGGCGTGTACAGGAGTGAATTCGGCGCCGTGCAAGAGGTACGACGGTACGTTCCGGGCGTTGATGTCAAAGCAGTGGGGTCCGTTCAAGCTGGAGCAGACCGTGACTGCGCGCGTCGCTGTTGGAGGGACATCGATCGCTGCGGGAATGATTCCGGCCCAAAGGTCGATGCTGTCGTGAGGACCAGTGCGGCCATGTACTTCATGTTGATCGGTTGGCAGTGAACGCGCCAAGCGGTTTCATCACGAGTCGTACTTTTCGAGTGGTCGCTACTAACGACACTCTACTCTACCAAGCGTGCTTCCTACAAGTAGTTCGGTAGTGCCATGCATTATCTCGAGGAGTGTACCAAGGCAGTCCAGTCGAAGACGATCTCACGTACCATGACCTCGATACATGCTCGTGACTTGTGGGCCACATGTCGTAGCAGCTCTAGCTCTTCAAGCACCCAGGGGAAGGGGTACTCTTGGAAAGCGACTTGGACGCTGTCGACAGGCTGAAAATGCCTCTAGCAAACATGGTGCGCCTTCCCATGGCACATTGTGATGGATATCGTGTGAGACACTCATGATAAATCACAAATCTGGATATACACTATTTACAATCTAGACACACTATTTACGCCAAATCGCGTCTTCAACTTGAACTTGCATTTGGCGCCAAACCAAGGAATAGAGAGATTTCGCAACTCACTCCCCTTTTCATCTGCGTGCACGCCACAATAAGCAATGCTTGCTTTAACGTCAACGCTAGACCCACTACTGCGTACATGTGTAGACTCATGGTGTAGACTGTAATAGCGATGAACACTAACGTTAAATGCTTTAGCAATACGCTCTCCCCCCGCCAACCCACCAACCTGTTCAATTCGGTACAGAGCATCCCTCGCCGATGACCGTTTACGTCGTGCAATCTTGAGCTGGTGCAATGGAGCCATGAGGTCTTCCCCTCCTTCGATTGGAGCTAGGTACGCAATGTTTCGAAAACACGTGAAGTTTGCAGGTGCACGCATCTTCAAGTGCATTTCTAGCTCGACACGGCTCGTGCTGGTGCTTGTGCACACGTGAGCAGCGCGCGAAGCACAGATCCAGTCTCGCACGCGTGTTTTATTAGCACCACGATCACACCTACGCACCCTACAATTAGTACCGTGGAGGTTAATAGCCGCCACGGAGCGTTTGTGCCTGGTTCCTGGCAGCACCAAGTCGAGATTTGCCAGCGTAGTCTAGTAACCTCGAGGACACCCTTGTTTAGCTGCGCCTCATAACGACCTCAAAGACCTACCGGTAACGTTACCGGAACTCGTGATCCCAGCGATCATGTCGGTGTAGATGAGCCTCGCGCTCGACATCGCCTTCGAATCGAGCATAGAGAACGGCTACAATGAAGGTGCGATGATGGTGATTCTTGGGGAAACGACGCCTCGTTGGCCATCGAAGCGTGTCGAAGGTCTGGAGGTTGAAGTGCATCATCATTTTGGCGCCCAAGCGTCGTCGATGGCCCGTTGGCAAACTGCGTCAAGTTGTGTAATCACACTTGACGTGCAGCGCAGGAAAACGATACATCGGCAGCTACTAGGCGAGATCGACCGTGGCACTCGAGCATAATCGACCTGCATTCGGCGACGTCGGGTTAGTCCGCTCTGTTCCGCGTGGTTGCACCCGGTGTCCGTACCGCCGGCTGTCCATAGATGTAAGAAGAAGAAGACGAAGACGAAGCAACGGGGCACGAACCAAGGGTAATTTGTTTTGTACGTGTGCAACGCGCCCAGCCAGCAGTGATTACCGATTACCATGGTAACGTTGGTCCATCATACCTAGAAGGTTCACCGTACAATAGAGTTGCTACTCGGTCGCTTCCTGCTGCACTGCCCAAACTCGACGGCTACAGTCGAGGGCATCGGAGAGCAGCCTCGCGCTTCAAATGGTGATCCTAACCAGGTAACTTTAGTGTACGTTCTGCACGCCCTGCGATGTCCTCGGCTTGTCGACGCCGCCACCGACAGGAGTACAAGGGATCCGTCCAAAACGTAGAAAAGACGCACAACATCGTCATGTCCCACCATGCGGCATCCTCACGTGAGAAAAGTGTGTGAAAATGTGTGAAAAATGTAAAATACCCGAAAAACGCGCGAAGCACTACACTGCGAAGGACGAGCCGCGATCGTCCGCAATCTCCGGCATCATTGCCAATGAGACCCGTGTGATCGAAGCGCCATGAATGCCACGCCGAGGGGCCCCGAGATGCGGTATATTCCACGAGGACACTGCAGCCTTCCAGCGCGACGACGTGAAGGCACATTTCCTTGTTCCGAGGGAGCTCCTTTCAGTCCCGTGTGCCCTATTTGCGCAAACTCAGATCTTTGTCTCCCACTCCTCGGATCAGAAAAACGACGACCACCGATGGCGGCACGACCCAGCGGCACGGTGGTACGTAGTATCCCACCACGACCGATGATGGGCATGCATGCCAGAACTATTGCCACAGGCCGTCGTGCCGTGTGCTGGTTGCTTTCTGGTCGTCGAGAGAGCTCGCAGCGAACATGACCGTCGTCTTGATTGCGTGCTATAGACAGGCCTCCATTTTGGCCCGCGCGACAGGGCGCCATAATCTCGATCTCTCCCACAAATGTGTACACACCAAGACCACCATGGGGGCGGGTCGGATGTGGCCTTTCTTCGAAATGTTGATGCTGCCATACCCACTACAACAGCTGTATTGTCTACCATGCGTGGCGACGGCTACGACAAAGCTCTACGACACACACTACATCCCTACAACACTGCCCGAGCACAGAGCAACTATCTGCTTCGACGATCGAAGCACTATCTATGGACCTTTTCACAGTCGTGAGCCTTGCCGTGGAGGATCCAAGGTGGTGGCGTCGGCTGGCATTGAAAACGAAATCGTCTTGTGTGTGAAATCCGCGTCGTGTATCCATATGGCATGTCGCAAGGGGCTTTGTTGAAGTCGCAGCTGGTGTTACTTCGTTGTGGCCACGAGTGAGTGGCAGCGACTCGTCCTTTGTGAGGAGGTGACTCGTTCATTTTTGCTTTTGCTCGGCAGTCGAAAGATGCGGTCGGCGCAAAACAGTATCATCTCCGAGTACAAGGTGGCGGCAACGCCCCGCGACGGCTACGAAGCCGGCGAGGACGACAGCGAGAAGCAAGCGCTCGAGTTTGCCGTCATCACCAACGGCCTCGAACACCCGCAGATCACGCTCAAGTCGCTCGTCGTCGGCACGCTCATGGGCATTTTCGTCAGCGTGCTCGCCATGTACTATGGCCTCAAGATCGGTGTCACGCCGTCCCTCAACGTACTCGCCGGTGTCGGTGGCTTCATGCTCACCAAGGCCATGATGCGCTTCAACATCTTCTCCGGCTTTTTCTCGGTCCAAGAAAACGTCGTGATCCAGACGACCGCCGTGGCCTGCATGAGTCTGGCCAGCCAGGCCGGGTTTACCTCCGGTGTCCTCGCGCTCACGCAGGTCGTGTACGAACAAGTCGGCAACAACACCAAGGGCAACCGCGCGGCCGATGTCATCGACTTCAACTGGATCCACTCGTTTGCGTGGTGCGCCAGCATTGCGCTCTTTGGCTTCTTCATCTCATTTCCGCTCCGCCGCAAGTTTATCATTGACATGCGCCTCCTCTTCCCGAGTGGCACGGCCACTGCGCACATGATCAAGACGCTCCATACGTCCAAGGAAGTGGTGGAGCACCAGTGGAACATTCTCCTCAAGTCGGGCGTCATCTCGTACTGCTGGAGCATCTTTCTCTTCTGCTTTGACGGTCTTGGTTCGTTCCCGATCTTTGGCATGAAGGCGGCGGGCTTTGGCTGGACGTTCGACTGGGCGCCGGGCACCTACGCCATTGCGCTCATGCTGCCGTTCCGCATCATGTACTCGATCTTCCTCGGCAACATCGTCGCGTCGGCCATCATGACGCCGTACCTCAAGGCGTACAAGCTCAACGACTGGTTCGAGACCAAGGACGTCACGGGTCTCAAGGGCTACTACACGTTCACGGCCGTCGCGATCATCTGCGTTGACGCGCTCTACAGCATTGTCAACATTGGTATCATCCTCGCCAAGTCGTGGATGAACAAGAAGACGCCGGAGACGACCGAAGCCGAGGACCCGAAGACGTCGGGCGCCAACTCGATCACGGAGACGCAGCGCCAAGCGTACCTCGACAAGATCTTCGACTCGGTGCACATCCCGGCGTGGCTCTGGGTGAGCGGCCTCCTTATCTTTGCCGCTGTCTCGGTCGTCGTCATCTCGGTCGTCTTTGAAGAGGTGCATTGGTACAAGATTCTCGTCTGCTGCCTCCTCATCCCGATCTTCGCCATCGGTATCGTCCAGGGTGTCGGTATGACGGATTGGAACATCTCCAGCGCCGTCGGCAAGCTCATCCTCTTCATCATCGGCTCGTGGACCGACGGCGAGGACAAGTCGATCGTCGCGTCGCTCTTGCTCTGCCAGATGGTCATTGTCGGCTGCTCGCAGGCCGCCGACCTCATGCAGGACTTCAAGACCGGCTACCTCGTCGGCGCGTCCGCGAACGCCATGATCGTGGCGCAAATCATCGGCGCGTGCATGTCGTGCATCATCGTCCCGACGGTGTGGGTCGTCATGAACCAAGCCTTTACGATTCCGGGCGACGTCATCACGGCGCCGTTCGGCGAGATCTACCGTGTGCTCGCGATCACGGCGTCGGTCGGCCTCTCGGGCCTCCCGACCCACTGCGGCATCTTTATGCTCATCGGTGCCATCTACACGATCGTCTTCAACTTGTACATCGACATGTTCTCCGAGTCGACCAACAAGGTGCACAACGCGATCGCCAACTATTGCCCCGTGCCGATGGCGGTCGCCATTGGTATGATCGTGCCCGCGTACTTTGGTCTGGAAGGCATCATCATGGCCGTCATCATCATCTACTGGAAGTCGGTCGACAAGCCGGGTTTCGAGAAGGCGCAGTACATCCTCGCCGCTGCTATGCTCACGGGCGAAGGCTTCTCGGTGCTCACGCAGATCATCGTCTCGATCGCCGGCGGTGCCGCGCCCATGACGATCTCGTACGCCAACGCTGGTGCCGGCGGCCACTAAGTCTACGTAGCGTGGACGCTTGGAGTATATATCAATATATCAATAGTGTTGTGTAAAAAAAAGTGTGTCGTGTTGACAATCGTGTAGATAGGACCGTGGCCGATGGTACACGATGCGACGTACCGTCGTCCTAGCGGCACAGTTTTGTTCTTGCTGCGGAACCAAGTTTATCATGCCAGCATGCGTCCCAAGTTCATCCACGCTTCACGGCGCTGTCCAGTTACTGTATGTTGACGCTCCAACGGAGCCGCTAAGCGCATCGTAATCGACGCATTCTGTCCTACTACGTCGTGTGGAGCGCACATGGACACCAAATCGAAGCTTCCACGTAATGCAATTCTGTCATTTTCAGTCGGACACGAGAGACAGCATTCAGGTCGACCTACGACGTGGTGCACATGGTATCTGGGCCCACGTCGTCAATCGACGCAGACGTGAGCTTGAGCATTGGCAGCGCTGGCGTGCTCCCCGCGGTCTCATGGCGCGGCGAAAGCGTCGCACCAAGACTCGACGGGTACAGCTCGTCATAGTCGTCTTGCAGCGCCCGCAGCATGGAATTGGTGACCTACCATCGTCGACTACGACCTTGGTCGCAAAAGGCCCATCAAGTACCTTGATTTTATTCGCGGCGTGCACGAGGTACTCGGGGTGCAGGATGAGCTACGCGTGGTCGTCAACCGTTTATACAAGCCTGCGCCGTGTCGCGCATACCGCGCCGTCATCCAAGTTGTAGAAGAGATCCACGATCGCCTCCAAGTCTGCGGCCAGGATCGCCGACTACATACATGTAATACGTCGAGCATAGTACGAGACGCAACGGCAACGTCTACCTCGAGGTACGTGAGGAGCGCGAGCGCGACGCGGAAGATCATTTTCCAGCCGTACACGACAAAGCCGTCCATGACGCGGACGACGGCGTCTGGCGGCAGCGTGTCAAAGTTGGTAAAGAGTGTCATAAACCACCTACATCATTATATAGTCGTCACCAGTCATAGGCAAAGGTTCGTCGATGGAGACCCTACCCCGAGGCACACATGCTCACATGAAAGTCCTGTGCTTCAAAGTGCGCGTGGACGGCCGGCAACCACTGTTTGACGAGCATATGGAGCTGCACACACCGCTTACTTAGCGCATTATTTCGACGCCATACGGACCTGGAAGAAGCGCAAATTGAGCAGCGGGACGCCCGGCTTGTACATGTCCATGATCTCGTACGTGGGCGAGACCGCCATGGCCGCAAGGAGCCAAAAGGCCTGCGCTTCGTTCCACTCGACGTTGGCGAGCATAAAGGCCGCCAAAAAGTTCTATGAGATCTTTGCGCGCCAAGCAGCCACTACATGACGAAGTACCATGCCCTGGCAGTAGCCCACAGTCGCATTGGTGCTAGTAAACGCGCGAAGCACGTTGATGAGCGAGTCTTTCTTTGGCTCGCGGTCCAATCCTTCGTACGGGTCGGCTTGCTACGCCCATCGCACGTTGGACATCAAGACAGACGATCTCAAGGGATGTCGTTACCCGCTCGCGGCGCTTGGTCTTGCGCACGGCAGAGCGGCCAAACGTGCGCCCGACGTCGGCCACAATCTGCTTGTCGTGTTCGAGATGCCCGATCGCGCCGCAGCGTTCGAGAATGAGCTACACCCCGTGCATTCGGATACATTTGGCAAACTATGCACAAGAAATGACACGTACACCGTACGCTTCCGACCATATCGGCGACGACTTGGGCATGATCGAGTACCACTGCACGGCTTGGTCCGAGTCGTACTCGAGGCTGAGCGCGGACGTGAGTGCTTCGGCGAGGTCGCAAATGAACTTGTTGGTGTCGCTGTCGCTGCAGACGCGCGAGAGCCACATTTGCGGGCTATTTACAAGGCGAATTCAAGCAGTAGGCACGCTCCAGTCTACCGAAAACATGCGGGAAAGGCCTGCTGCGCAATGGCTTGTCGCTGCAAATCGTGCTTGGCAATGTACGCGTGCAGCGTCTTGCACGTCTACAAGAATGCCTAAGTTAAAGGCGACGGCGACGATGATGCGCACTTGGCTCAGCATGGCAAGGTCAAAGACGCTCAAGTACGGGAGCGCGCCCGCCGCAACTGGGTGCCACCGAATCTTCTTGTGGCGAATGGCCTACGACACTGCGTTAGGCACGCGAGAGGCGTGAAGTATACCTCTTCGTAGACGGCCATGGTCACGTGCAGCGACTCGAGTGCTTTCTTGGATCGAACCTCGGCCACTTTCAAGCACATTCCAAGCTGGCGGTGGGCGAGGCGCAGCTGGGCACATGCCTCGACCGACTCGCTTGGCTACACCACACGTCAACATGTACTAACACCACACGGAGCTCGGACCTTGAACTTGTGCGAAGGCGGCGTCTTGAGCTCTTCCATCGTGCACGACGGTGACGCGCCGAGCTTGGCGGCCGTGATTGCCTCGAGTTTTGCCACGTCACAGCCTGTCACAATGAGTTGTCACCGCGCCGAATGCACAAAGTACAGGCACCGAGGTGGGTGGCTTCCGCGCGCAGCTTGGCGACAACAGCCGCTTGCGCCGCGACCTGCGTTTCTGTGGTCTTGGCAAGCACCTGAATCGCGTCTTTGATGCGCCGGTTCTCCGTCACCAGCCGGCGGACTTCGGCGAGCCCTACGCAGCAGCATAAACATCCACATCCAGATGATGTGGCTTGCCCTTGTCATTGTCGATGCTGGCTTTGCACGCGCCACAAACACGGTACTTGCGCGGCGGCGCGCCTCGCGAGAGCTGCAGCTCGACCTGCGACGCCGTGCAGAGGTGGCAAAAAATGTCAAAGCACATGCGACACTGCACATGCCAACGATAGTACACAGCAAATACGTGTGTGCGTACGTGGTGGCGTCGGTTGTGCACCGTGAAGGCCGATTCGCACACGGAGCACGCCGAGCGCACGGCGTCGTCTTGCCAGAACCGGTCCTACGGCATGATCTGGCGCCGCTTGTTTTTTTCCAAGCACCCACCTGACGTGCGACCGGGAACTCGGACTGATCGTCCCAGCCTGGCAAGAGCCGATCCACGAGAGCTACATACTCGTTCATCGCTGCTTCCGGCGCCATCTCACCGAGCTTGTCCCACTCCCGCCTAAATCCAAACAGCAAACTCAGTCCTCACGAGGTCGACCCAGTCCGCACGATCCTAAACCTACATGACAGAGCCGGGGCCGTTGAGGTACCCGCCACAGAGCGTAAACCACGGCGTCGCGTGATGGGCTGCAGAAACAAGCGCACGTGAATCTCCGCCGCCCGCGCGAGAATGCGATTACCTTGGGCTGTGATGTCGCGCACCTCGGACGACTTCTTTTCGCGATGAATGGCAGCCGGGCCCTAGTCGTACGCCAGGCGTCAGAGGCGCCTCGACGATCGATGCAGTCGACTTGTTCGATGTGGCACTGGATACTGAAGAGCGCATCTTCGTGGGCCACGAGACGCCGGGCCACGTCGACGTCAACCGCGCGGTGCGACCCGTTGTAGTACTTGTTGAAGATGGCCGAGACGACCGAGAGTGCGCGGTGGTATTTGGCCGGCACGTCGTTCTCGGCCACAAGGCTGCTCGCGTTCACCGGCACCACCGCCGACGGCTCGAACGAGAAGGACGACCGAAGGTGCATCCGCGTCTTTGCAGCCAACCGCGTCTCCTTCGTACAGTCGCTGCTGTCTTTGCATATACATATATCTTTTGGATCGACTAGACTTGACATTGTATGCGATACAATGTCCAAGTCATTGGAAGGGCCAGATGGCGCCACCACCTGTGCGCGCGGACGGAGGTGCTGCCACGTATTGCGGCACCAGTCGTTGGCGAGGAAACCTATCCAATAGGCAGTAGCCGAGCGCTCGTACACTGTATGCATGCAAGGCGACAGGCGACCGACGCCTTTGCCAGGGCGACACCGTGGCCGAGGATTCGGTCGAGAGGAGATCCTTCCTATTCGCGCGGCCACCGCCACAGCTTTTACTTGTGGACCCAAGGCGCCTGTGATTGGCGCCTCGCCCACATGGAGATGCCACGTGTTGCGGAGCTTCCTAGGGGCATCCTGCTCGACACCTCGCCTCTGTATGCGTGGTAAAAGGCGCCAGATCTGCATCCGTGACACACGACAGGCGACTTTGTATAGACACGGCAAGCCGGAAATTTCACTGGCGCGCGGCGCCGAGGCTTATTTTCGGCACATTCGAAGTTCCAGAACTCGAAGTTGACATGGGATTCGGTCGTTTGCATACGACCGTGCGGTTGTATACAAAACCCAAGTCAAACCACGGGCCCGCACGCAAGCACGGTCATTTTGGATTTTGAGCGCGTCGAGACATGCTGAGCGCCGCGAGGAGCGACAGCCACTTTGCGGTCAAGAAGGAGTGGTTCTTCCGGCGCCTCCTTAGCGCCGACCCGCGCCAGCGCGCGAGCACCATGGAGCAGCTCCGCGAAGAAGCCATGGCCATGGAGCCGTCGGTCTTGGAGGCGCACTTGCCCAGCATGTGGCGGTTGGCCCGCGAAGCGCCGCTGGCCGACATTCGCACCGGCTGCCGGGCGCTGCTCGCCGACATTGCGACCGAGCGCGGCCTTACGTTTACGCCCAAGTGCGCGCCAGCGAACGGCGCCGAGCCCACGGACGAAGACTCGGACGTGTCGTCGTTTTTCCAAAAGTCCGAGGTCATTGGCATCGTCAAG